TCCTTCCTACAGATCGCTGTAGGTGTCAACCATCCATTCACCGTCTCCTTCAACATCCATTAACTTATTCCAGGCTGGAGGAAGCAGCTCTTTTATTCACGCGCCTCTCAGGGGTTGACGTTTACCTTACAGACGATCGCTAACTCGCACCTCACCAAGAGCAGTTCCCGCCGTTTTTAAGGCACTTAAACCCAAAGCAGCCGCCTCGGTGGAGCTGGTATGTGCCGGGCAGCTCTCCGGTGTGCGTGAAGAACGGGGCAGAGAAAGGGCATGTGTGCTCAGCAGAGTCTTCCCTGGATAAACGTTAAATATTAAATGAAAATGTCAGTGTTTTAGTTTGTCTGCGCGAGTACCTGTGTGTGTGTGTGTGTGCAGCCGGAGCTCGGCGTTAATCGCAGGTAAGTTGAAGTGCAGCCCTCCCCCGTCTACTTGACCCCACGCGACACCCTAACTCCGCCGATTGTTGGTGCTCAGACATTTTGTATCTTGCAAAAATATTTTCAAGCTCTGCATTTACGTCCTCTGAAGTGCTGTGCTCAAAGTTCAGGCCAAAAAAAAGCCTCGTCAGAAAGAGCCCTTGAATGTCAAACGTATTTTCTAACATCGCAGTTTGTGAGGAAGCTCGGAGCATGTGAATAATCAAGACTGAACGCCACATGAATCAATATTGGTCCTCTTAAGTACATTATCTCTGTAATGTATGACTGCTAATGTCTGCTGAGTGAATAAGACTCAGATTGAAGTAGCGCTTCTGTCCCGTCTCTCTGCCCGGCTGAGCAGAAATAGTTTCTCTGCTGCACATCTTTTCTCTAAACTTGCAGAATCTTCACCTGAGCTGCTGCTGCTGCTGCTTTAGAGCTTCTTCATCTTCAGCCTCCGTCGAGATGGAGTCAGAGATGTAAAAGTCAACTTTCAGCCCTGGACCGCCGGGCCGTAACACTGAAAAAGAATCTGACAAAAATATAGAAGAACATGCTTTATTTATGTAGCACCTTGCTTCATAATAAAAAGATGCTGTTGCATTTAGTGGAAACTCAGTAAATCTACTATTTCTGCTTGTTCTTTAAATCTAATTTGCACTTTTGGCAAAATCTTGTGTGTTGTAGATCTAAAGTGATCAATCAGTTGATCAGTTTTATCAATCGGTTGCTTGTTTAAACCTAAACTCAGACTAATCTTGGATTAAACCCTTTGCGTGATGTTAATATTCGTCTCATGTGATGAGAAAATGAAAATCTTTCAGTTTTATATTGCAAAGCAGAACATTTTCAGAGACTCCACTTGAAAAAAATGAGATTTTTCTCAAATATTTATCAACGAATTTGCGACTAATTGATAAATTTGTTCATCTAGAAATGAATAGATGAATGTTTTGGTTGTATCACCGTTCAGCCTGAAGATCACAAACATCACCGGCATCCTCGTCTCACTACAAAGTGCAGATCACCGCCTCCTTTCCCTCCTGCAGGAATCGATGCTATGATGTTCGTCTGAGTTAATCGCAAGAGGAAACCCGGTCCGTTACAGCCGAACATACTCGGCGCTACCAATAAAGACGGCGCTGCTAATCCCCGCGTGCCCATTAGTATGTGTTTTCCGCGCGAGTCTGTGTCTTTTGTCTGTGTTTGTGTTTGGATTTGAGTTGCACTGCGAGCACTCCCTGTGGGACGGTGGATCAGGCAATTTCCTGTTCAAAAAAAAATCCTACCTGATCTGGAGAGAGAGAGAGAGAGAGTGCTGTATAATCTTTAAAAAGCCAACCCTTGGGTTCAGCAGAACCATCTGATGAATACAGAGAAGGCTGTGGAGGTGTGTGTGTGTGTGTGTGTGTTGCGTTCAGGTGAAGCGTCCTGCCGCAGTGTTGCTTCTGCTGCTGTCTGAAGGGTTTATATCAGAGTGAGTCTGTGGGTTTGCCGCCACCGAGGGCTTCTGTTACCACCGATGCCAGAGCAAAGTTCACCTCTGCCAAGGTTACCAGACGAGTGCCTGGCGAGGTTTGAGATGGAGCCTCTTCTGCACTCGTGTTGGACTCGGAGGATGCATCTCAATCTGCTTCTCGCTCGTTCATTTGGACGATTAAGTCAACAGAAATCTCACATTTTTTCCTTCAGCTGTCCGCTTGAGTGGACTTCTTCTCTCCTCCACGTTCTCAAGAGGGCCAAATCCTGGGTTTCTATTTACTAAATCATCCATTAGGCTGACGGTGATTGATGTTCAGAGAGAGCGGCGGGAGAATAACCTTTCAGAGATACTGAAGGATAAGTGCTGTGGCCTGGCCCGAACTCATTTAAAAAAATAAAAAAAACTTTTATATTTGGGAATTAAAGAAGTCAGACTTGAATGAGATATTTGATTGAAAGAAAGAAAGAAAAAAACAGACAGAACAGATCTTGTCTGTGTGGTGGACAAACTGTGTAACGGTGGCCCTGTTTCCAAACGACCTCACATAGTTTTTGGCATTTCTGTCCTTCTTATTTATCAACCAATGCACCAGTCCTGATATGCAGAAGGCAGATTCTAGCTTCGATATCTGCCTCGTGGAGGTGATGTGGTCGTTAGAAGTTGGATATGGAAGCTGGACTGTCATGAAGTTCAGTTATATCGACAACAGTGTGTAAAAGCCACAGTTTTGACATGACAATGGTTCAAACTCCTCCTAATGTTGAGGTAGATTTCATTTAAATGGCTGAACTTCAGTGCTGTATTTAAAGGATATTCTAGTTTGTATGTGTTTATATGTTTGTGGCTCCAGGTGGAGCTGAGCTGAGCGTCCACCGGCTGTATGCAGCGTAGGTCGTGTGTGTTTTAAAACTTCATATCAGACCAGCAGCTCAAGGCACGAGAACCTGAACACAACCAACCCTTCAGTCAAAGCAGACAGCGGTCAGGGTGCATTGTGGGTAATGGTGCCGTGCGTGGAAAACGTTGTGTGTGGAATAGAAAATACGACATCTCATAGTCAGCTGTGTTGATTTTAATCTTTTCTTTAAAACTGTTCAATGTTAAATTGGTGCAATGCTCCTTTAATATCACAGTTTGTTTACATAGAGCTGCTGTTAATTAGCCCTAAACGAACGGTTTAGGCTGCACGATGCACGATCAGGATTAGAAATGACACAGAACAAGCTACAGTAGTCGTGTTTCCAGTATGTTTTAAGCACATTTTAGAGGTTTTGCATTGAAAACGGTTAATCAGTTGAGGCATTTTTGACAAAAGAGGGCTAATGCACATAATATGACAGAAAGTTCTGCTGTAGCAAACCTTTAACTTGATCGATCTGCTGTTTGTGCTGGTGTTTTAATCTCAGGACAGCGTGAAACGTGTCCCAGACCAGCTGACAGGAAAGAATTATGACTGCTTTCCCAAATGAAAAATGTTTCTGGAGACTTATCTCCATTTCTGTCTTGAAGATGACCAATGATTCGTTTGTCTCTGAGCAAACATCTGGGTTCAGTTTCCAGCTTCTTCTACTCTCACAACGTACTCTTATTCTAACAGATACCGCCTCCTTCCTCTGGTTTGTTTGCTCCAAATCAATTAACTCGAAAACATTTGGCGACATTTCAAAAGTTTACCTAAAATTTGCTTGACAAGGTTTCAACCTGCAATCACCTCCCCCTCCCAAGGACACACAGACACAACAAGGGCCACATCCAGAGCCAGTGTTTGGTTCAGGGGTGTCCAATCCTGGTCCTGGAGGGCCACAGTCCTGCATGTTTTAGATGTTTGCCTCTTCCAACACACCTGATTCAAACGATCAGGATCATTATCAGGCTTCTGCAGAGCTTGATGATGAGCTGATGGAAGAGGGAAACATCTAAAACATGCAGGACTGTGGCCCTCCAGGACCAGGATTGGACACCCCTGGTTTGGTTTGTCCCTTCTGGGCTTCTGTAAGAACCACGGAGGAGGATCTGCTTCTTCTATAAAGAAAACACATTGATTCTTACTTTCAGGTGATTAAAAACAGAACCACACAGTAAATCTCCAACACGTTGGACCTTTAAAGCGCGCTCAGTAAGTTAACGTATAGATCGCCGGCGCCGCGAGCAACCCAGCAGCGAGATTTCAAGGCCGGAGACGTCGGGTTCTAACGTCGCAATCATGTTCATGTAGCCGGAGAAAGAAGTACTTGACATTCAAAGGGCAAAAATGTAAAGGGCGGTAAATATTTTTCTCCTTAAGAAAGGAGCTCGTGAAAGCTTCTTCCCTCCGCATTCATGAGCCTCGCGTGTTTATGCACAGTATAGCCGTCTCTATGCACAGACTCGCTTCCTGAAGTTATTTACAGTTTCAAATGCAACATAATGACTCGAGCGACAACAGTAGATTAGTATGTGTGCTGTGAATGTGGCGATAATTGCAAAGTGGTCGCGTGAATGTGTTTCAGCGAGTCACTTAAATCTGTGCATTTTTGTCTGGATACTTCCTGGAGAAAAAAAAACAAACAAACAGCATCTCATCTGTATCTGCTGCCTTCTCTGCAGATAGCTCATAATAATAACTCTGTAATGAAGTTCCAGAGACTCACACGCTCGCTCTGTGAAGTTTGTTTGTCTCTGTTTTGGTGACTCTGGTGAAAGCGCTCACCGCCGTGCTGCTGCCTGTGCTTCCCAGAGATCATCTTTAAAACCAAACAGTGTGGGTGGTACTTTGGTGTCTTCTTCTTTTTTTTTTTGTTTTGATGAAGTTTCTGTTTACCCTTTTCGAGTCTGTTTCTGCTCAGTTCTTTCTTTGCTTGATTGCAACGAACTAAAAATGTGAAAATGCACAACTTCATGTGACTGCAAACGGCAAACGCATCGAGCTTTATCGAATGAGATGTCGTATCACATGGAGCCGCCGTGCAGGGGTGTCTAACGATGTGGGTTATTTGCTCGAAGACAAACACAGCTGATGTCAAGCGGCTGAAGGTTGCGCGACGAGGACGACGCCTTCTTGTCTGCCGGTTGAATTTGAAGATGATTGTGTTCTCTGCGCCCACTTCTCTGTCTTGCAGGCGGAGATCGTCAAGCGGCTGAACGCAATCTGCGCCCAAGTCATCCCCTTCCTCTCTCAAGAGGTAAGACTCCAGAATGCCTGTCACTGTGAGTTAAGCAGGAGGTGGGTGTGAGACAGAGAGAGAGAGAGAAAAGAGGACAGAATACGTAGAAGGAGGAGAAGTGTGTGGTGGATTGTGAGGCAAAGGAGACAAAATATGAACACACACACACACTCTCACACACACACATACAGATTATCCTGGGCTAATCCTCCCTGCTCAGGATAGGCAGATATGCTCTGAACTTATCAAATGTCTCCCACTAACATATGCAGGAGCCAGCGGCTGAGAGAGAAAAAATACTTTTGTGCTAAAACACATTAAAATTGTGTGCACATCCAGCGGTGGGTGTGAGGAGTGCGTTTTACACACTGTGTTTATTATGGAGTCTTTAGGTGTGTGTGTGTGTGTGTGTTTAGCTGATAAATCCTTCCTCTGAGGAGTTAACTGTGTGTGTGTGTGTGTGTGTGTGTGTGTGTGTGTGTGTGTTGAGGGGTGGGAACAGCAGGAAGGGAGTGAGTGTGGACTCCAAAAGCTCTCCTCCAGATTAGCCATGGATTAGGAGGGTTTAGGGCGGATTAGGAATAATGGCATTAGATGGTGGCGCTGCTACACAGCCCTGAGGCCCACAGAGAGGGGAGGCAGGGAGAGGAAGCCGCTTTGTTTTGATGCACAGCCGCGCACATGAAATCCAACACGTCATTATTATTATTGTCGTGCAGCAGATCGCGTAGAGACGGCGTCTGATTGGAACTCTTTGTTTTTTTATTTCGGTCATCTTCTGATATCGTCCGTCCACGTGCTCCGAGTTTTGTTTGACAGCAGCATTGTTGACGCTAATGAGATTATATGTTGGTTAGTCAGAAAAACGCTCGTCGTGTCTTCTGTGTATTTTAAGCAAGACTGAGTCATGTTTTAATAATAGCGGGGTAGCAGGAGGATGGTCGTCAGTTAGCTGAAGTTTGGGGCCTTTTCTTGGATCAGCCACAACAATAAAACCACCTGCAGGGAAAGACGTTTATTACAAGGCAGTGTTCTGCTGGGACACCGTGGGCTCTGGCATTCATTTAGATATTACTTTGACCACCCTCATGGCAAACACCAGCACCCACCCCCAGCAGGACCACAAACTGCTCAGGAATGGGTAGAGGAACACGATCAAGAGCCGCAGGTGTTGATCTGGCCTCCCCAGATCCCAGTCAAACTGAGCATTTGCAGTCCAGAGCGAGCCTCGTGGATTCCCTACACAACAAACCTGCAGAACCAAAAGGATCTGCTGCTGACATCCTGGTGCCAGACACCACTGGACACCTTCAGAAGTTCCACGTTCAGGCTCCAACGAGTCTGGATTTTGGCGGAACATGGGTCACCGTTACAAAACGAAATGGAAAAAATGGTAAATGCACAGTGTTTTCTCATTCACACATCAATGGTGACAAAGCTGCCATGCAAGGTGCTGCCTGCCATTGGGAGCATCTTCAGGTTCAGTGTCTTTCCCAAGGACACTTTGACTGTGGAGGGATCGAACCACCAACCTTGCGATTGGAGGACAACCTGCTCTACCACCTGAGCCACAGCCGCCCAGGTGGTAAGCAGGTGGTTTTATTGTTGTGGCTGATTTGGTTTATTTCCGTAAATCACGTTTTTGCAGTTCTTAAGTTATAAGATAAACCTTTATTAATCCACAGTAATGCTACAGTAGGAGCAGAAGGTACACATAAGTAGTGTTGACATCGAACAGTTTCTTCAGATGAAGCGCAGATTCCTCTGGATGTGAAAAAAATGCAATATTGCTCATATCTAAATATTGAAAACGTAGAAATGCTAATATTACAAATATGATTTTGCACAGATTCTTCCTTAAGTGAAAAATGCTGATATTTCACATTATATGAAGAAAAGTTTTTAAATTTATACTTAATGCAGTTTTGATTGTGTTGATGTTGCACCACAGTGAAATGTGTCTCCATTGTTGGTCTATCAGGAGCAGTGCTGGTTGTTCATTGTCTTATCTTTACTAAACATTTCAACACAGCAGCTTAAAAAAGATAAAACATTTAGTTTCAGTGCTAAACTTGAGTCCCCACAGTGGCGTCTGTATGTTCATGTTATTGAGCAGCTGCAGCCTTAAATCCAACACGCTTCACCTGCTGTAATCATTTTGGTGATTCTTTCTGTTTGTTGGATCAAATCTTACCGTGAACATCCAGATCTTACTTGCTCTGAACACGGGAGCGTTTCATATTTAGCGTCGTGCTTTTCGGCGCTACCTTCCCGGTGAGCGTTCAGCGATCCGCCCACTCCAGAACAACCCCGACAAAAAGGGATGTTTGACAGGGTTCTGATATCATATTATGATGTCAGACAGGCATCTGTGGCGGTGTTCTGGCAGCGCACGGCGCACAAAGCACAGGTGGAGGGAGAGGAACAACCAGGTGGGAGGTTCATTCATATTCAACGAGGCTGTGACAAGCTGGTTGTGGCGCCTGCTCTCCGGAGCTGCTGTCGGAGGAGCTTCTCCTGCAGCCATCCGGAGGCAGCGGGACGAATGTGTTGATAAATCTGCAGCGTCTGATTTGAGAAGCCGGAGACGTGACGTCCGCTGTGTTTACCTCCATTAGATCCTGTGTAAATGTAAAACAGTCTGCAGCGGCATGACCCCGAACGCCTCCATCAGACATCCGATTGCTCATTAAACCTGTGAACCTCAGCGTTTTTTATTTGCTCCAGTCAGATTTTCACTCCTACAGGTGTAACCAACGCTGTGAAAAACTGGCATACTTTAGATATTTTACTAGTCTGCTCTGTGGAAACACAGCTCAGCTGAAAAGTCCACGAATTATTGTCACCGTTTGGTGCAAACGATCAACTTCGGGCTCCCTGGTTGCACCAAGTGTTGCAGAATTTTTACCTTTTTACATCATTTGGTTTGGTTTATTAGGATCCCCATTAGCACCAGCATAACCACTGGCTGTTCTTCCTGGGGTCCACACACATACGCACAATCACACTTCTAAACACAACAACAACAAACACAACAAACACAACAACTCATCTCGTTAACTTTACAATCAGAGAGACATATTGTCATTCAGTGCACTATACATTAAATCATACACAGAATTATAAATCCATCGTTATTAATCTTGAACTCTTAATTCTTCATCATAAACATACGATCAGAATGACCTTAAATAACATATTTATCCATCCTGTTCCTCGACCAATTGAAATCCAAGAAAATCAGGCAAAGTACATTTTACATTCTCAGCTCTCACCGGCTTTACGTTTTATTTTGAAACACCATTTTCTTTGTCTGTACCTTCTCAAAAACGTGTAAATATTGTTTCAACAAATTAAAGCACACGGCTCATTGTTGGTATGTAAAGTGAAGTCATATTTTTTAAACTAAATATAATTATTTTAGGCTTGTTTTTCCCAGTAGAACAGCACATCACACATGATTACCATCACAACAGTTTAAAAAAATCAGAGGATTCTTTCTCTTTTTAAAGTTTCTTGCTCTGATAAATGATGAAATTTCTCTTTCAAACCTCAAAGCTTTGGTTTCAGAGCATCGTGAACTCCTTTAGTTTCCTTTCAGCTTTTTGCTTATTTATTCTGGAAATGCATCGTAGCACAAACGCTGCAAAACGACGTCACCGTTTACGATGTGAGAGGTTTTTTTGTGAATTCCATCTTTATAAACACACACCAGCCTTGGTCCTGTGTCCACGTGATGGTTTGCTAAAGAAGCCGATTCTTCACCGAACACCGTCTGACTTTTAGCTTCGATGTCCCGGCGCCGCCAATGAATCCACTGAAATGTCAAAGTTAAATTATTAACCACATTATTGAACTCTGTATTGTTCATCCCAGGCCTCCAATTATTACAGCCGTACACCATGATGGCGTGAAACCTGTTTGCCAATATTGATGGATCTGTGTGTGTGTGTGTGTGTGTGTGTGTGTGTGTGTGTGCGTCACGTTCAGCCGGGTTAGTCTCAGTCTGCTGAGGTGCAGCCGAACTCGACGGACAGGTTCATTTTCACACCTGATAAGCTCTTTCATCTCTGGCCTACTTTGATGTTTTGCGCTCCTGGATGAATCTCGCTGCTCTCGCTGGCTGTCTGGATCCGTCTTGGGCTCTCTGTACCCTTTGTATGACATTGCCCTGGTAGCTGTCTGTCTCTCTGGGCGTCTGTCTCGTTTCTCTCTGCAAATATGTCTGCAAAAAAAAACAAAACTGAATTTCTGCTTATAGCTGCTCTGCCATTAGGATGTTATTTACATTTGTGTTTTTAAGGAATTCACAATCTCCCACACACTTGACTTCTGTGTGAGACATTTTGAAGGAGTCTTGGATGTTTTAGCGGATGCTGAGCTGCCCCCTCGGACGTCCACTGGCTTGTTTTCCAGATTCTGCTCCACGCAGAAGGAAACAACTGACCTGAGCAAGTTATACTTGACCAAGTAGCGCACGCTAATTAGCTGCTCGCTGCTTTTTTTCCTGCTCGGTGAATTTTAATGAACGCGCTGATGAGTATAAAACAAAAAAGCGGCAGTGATGAGTCAGAGTGTTTTACTCTGGTGGCATTTCAACCGGATCTGGTCAGAACTTTGGACTTTTAATCACATTTTAGATGCATTTTGTCCAGAAACTGAAGAAAAATATATATGGAGAGTTCAAGGCACAGTAAAAACTCCTGTAGCTCCTCTGGTACTGTACAGCGGGTTAAAGTGATGAAAACAGTTTGTTAGGTTTTATCGTCGGTGCTAATTGATGAGCGAACGTCGGGTCGTGTAAAGTCAGAGAGCGTGACGGACTGACGTCGGCTGTTGAGCTGTGACTCAGGTTAGATGCAGGAAATAGACGGATGGCTTTGGATGGAAAAGTAGAAAATGAAACGCATTAAATAGACGGATGGAGCCATTTTATTTAAATATGTCTGTACCATTTAACCCTCTGAACCCCAGGTAGTTTCTGGACATTTTTTTGATCCAGTCACGTTTTTCCTCACTTTCTTCGCTGCAACATAAAATCCTGCACCTCGATGGAAACAGCACAACTATAAGTACAAGTAGAGAGAACTTAAACATGTCGTCTTTGCAGTTTAACACAGTTTGTATTGGAGGGTAATACCGGTGTGATGTTAGGGGATGATATGAAATTGAAATATCGCGATAAAATTTGAGCGCAGTGCCGTTGTTTTGGTCCGGTCTAATGCACATGGAGCCAGAAGCATGGCGGTGACTGAGGCAGTAGGGCTGGACCCGGATATCGGAGCATTCGGTCGTTGTGGTGGCATCCACATAGCGAGTTTGAGATCCGAATATCCATCCATTATCTATTCACCGCTTAATCCTCACTAGGGGAGCTGGAGCCTATCCCAGCTGACTCAGGGTGAAGGCAGGTTCACCTGGACAGGTAACCAGTCTATCACAGGGCTACACTTAGAGACAGACAACCAAGCACACTCACATTCACACCTACGGACAATTTACAATCACCAATTAACCTCAGCATGTTTCTGGACCTTGTGGGAGGAAGCCAGAGAACCCGGAGAGAACCCACGCTGCACGGGGAGAACATGGAGACTCCACGCAGGAAGATCCCGGGTGTCCTCACCGGGACACCAACCGGCGACCTTCTAGCTGTGAGGCAACGGTGCTAACCACCAAGACACACTGCAGCCCAGATTTGAATATTCGCCCAACTTTTGATTAAAACAACTGTCAGCAAGCGATTTACAGCTTATGCATAATTGATTTAAGTACAATTCAGCTTTAATGCACATTAAAAACAGCTGCTTGCTAAATGGAAAAGAACCTGTTCTCTTTTTTAAATTTGCACCAATAAAGTTGTGCAGTTTTGAAGTATTTTGTCCAGCGTCAGTTATATGGTGATATATATTTTTGGCTGTATCACCCTGCCCTCTTTTTTTATGCCATAAATCATTTAAAAAAACGACTGTCTTTGATGATTAATTTTACAAAAAAGAAGAAAGAACCACCACAGATGTCATCAAAACTATAAAACTGGCTCCACATCCTGTTGAGCTTTTACCACTTAGACTTTAGCCTCCTGTCTGCAGCCCAGTTCATCCAAACAGTCCCTGAATATTTTTTTTGTCATGTAGCAGGTTTTTTATTAGCAGCTGGCTCACTCAGGGCTCCATGCTTGTGTGAAGGAGAATTTTTAGTGTTTCACAGAACCTGGTTAATGTAAACGGTGTGCACACCTTTAAACGAGACATTTAGATGAAACATCGCAGTTTTCACCTTAAATCCGGATCGTTCGCCCGACGCAAAGCCTCGCCGCGGGTCAGCAGTTCAAGGACCGTCGGAAAATTAAAACTCTGACCATTATTTCTGCTCCTGTGATTTTCTGAAAGGATGTCTTTCTAACAGTTTGTGGAGCTCCGAGGGTTAAATGTTCTGATTGATGAAAGCCGCAGATTGAAATGTCAGACAATAAGGTTTTGTTTTTTACCTTGAGAAGTGTCGGCGCTTTTTCATCTGTCGGATGAGCCGCATTATCATCCCGGTTACAGCAGATCTTTATGTTTCTCCACAGTTTTCATAATCGTTCTTTAAAATCCAGATGTCTGGATTCAACAAACTGCTCTTTTTTTTTCCCGTCTCAGCTTCTGTTGCAGTAACTCTCTGATTATTTCTGTCCCTCAGCATCAGCAGCAGGTGGTGCAGGCGGTGGAGAGGGCCAAGCAGGTCACCATGGCTGAGCTCAACGCCATCATAGGAGTGGGTGTAGCGCGCACACACTCACACACACACACACACACACACACACACACACACACACACACACACTGAAATAGAAATGGTGCAGGGGCTGTTTTCTTCCAGTTGGACATAAACGCTGAAAAGGTGGTGGAGAGACTTGAATGGCCGAAGGACGTGCCAAATGAATAAATTAATCAAATGCATTTCCAGCACCAGAGATCAGTGAGGTGTTTGACCCGTTCCCACCTCATGCATTCACCAGAGGTCAATGAACTGGCCCACACTTTCTACTTCAGCGAGACTTTGTTGGATACGCACGTCAGATTTATTTGTACGGGTTGACAATTTGGACGAAAATGGCCTTTTATCACTAAAAAAACCCAGATAATCGTGTGGAATGATAACATCAGCAGAGATTCAGATGGAACTGTCGGCCAAATTTAGCCTTTTACAGCTAATGTGACCATAGGAGAGGATTTTATTTATCCCACAGTGGGGACGTTTGCACTTTTAGCACAGCAAAGAGGAAGCATTTAAGAAATATCAGCAGAAAAATGAACACATGCAGAAGTACTAATTGCACAGATTCTTTCATGAGTAGAAATACTGATGGAGAAGTATTAATGTTGCACAGATGGGTCTGTAAGTAGAACCAAACATGTTGGCCAGTCGGACCAGAGATAAGTCCAAAGATGCTGCATGTTAGCGGCCATGAAATAACACTTGTATCATCCTCTGACGTGCTGCACCAGTCAGGCTTGTATCTAAATGTTTTGGGTCCCATGTGCTGCTGTTATTTTTTTTTCATCCCACCCACTCCTTCAAATCTTAATCCGTGTTTCCGTGTGTGCTTCAGCAGCAGCAGCTCCAAGCTCAGCACCTCTCCCACGGCCACGCCATCCCCGTCCCGCTCACGCCCCACCCGGCCGGCCTCCAGCCCCCTCTGCCCCCCGGGGCCAGCACCGCCAGCCTGCTGGCTCTGTCCTCGGCCCTGAGCCACCAGCTGCCGCTCAAAGACGAGAGGAAGCACCACGACAACAACAGTGAACACGCCAGAGGTGAGGCCTGCTCCGGATCGGTCAGTAGTGCAGCAGGGGTCGGTTCTGGTTTGTGTCTAGAATAAGTCCGCGTCACTGGCTGAGTTTTCATGTTTATTGATGCAGCAGAATTACAACTCCAACCTGCTAAATCTAGAAATAATGCAAACAAGCAGTAAATTCTCACTAACAGCCCATGAAATGTCACATTTCTGCATTTACAGAGAGACTCAGACACCAATCTGCAGTATTATTATTTAGTCTACATGCCACGGTGTGAAACAAACCGCAGTAACTTGTGCCGTTTTACTTCCCTCTTAATCAGATGCTAAGTGTGTTTAACAGACACAAACGTGGACGATCAAATCCTTTGTTAACTTAATGATCCCAAACCGGTTTCAAGCGTCCCGTCGGCGTTATGAATTCTGTCGCCGCGTGCTGATGCTTAATTGTTAGTGCTCTGAGTGAACAGCAGTTAAAACGATTAAAAACTGATTTGTCATTATGCCGTTTTAATTGGCCTAATAGGGAGCAATGCACAACCGCCATGATGCCTCGTTTCTCTTGTAAACACGGAACGCCTGTAATTCTTCTCCGAGCTGACTTTGAGCTCGAGCATTTAATTACTGCTCATAGAGAGTGTGTGTGTGTGTGTGTGTGTGTGTGTGTGTGTGTGAGCATGCCGCTGCTTAATGACTGTGTTGCAGCGCGGCGGTGAGGGCTTTTTGCAGTGCAGCAGAGCAGTTAACCTTGCCCTGTAGCTGCAGTAAAGCAAACAGCTGCTAACTCAGGTAATGCTCACCCGCATCAGGGGCGCAATCGATAACAATGCAATCCCATCTCTCTCTCTCTCTCGCCGAGCTGCCGAGGATGAGTGCGCGCATGCAGGGAGGATTTATTTGCCTTCTTCAACTTCTTTTTAAAGGGCATCTTCACTTGAATTCATACAGTTCCAAATTTGCTAAATATAGTCTTTATAAATGTTGATGCCCCCCCGGGCTTCTTCATTTAGTTTCAGTGTTGTCTCTATCAATATATTTCCAGACAGACAGCGTGTACATAGTTTGCTATCAGGCCACTAACCCCAGACTAAACAGGCCTGATGATCACAGACCTTCCATGAGAGAAATGCAGTTGCTCCATCTGCTGACGGTTGCAGCAAATGTGACTCAAAGCACCACAATGTTATTACTGAGTTTAGTTTGCATGACTGTTGGGTTGCAAAGCTCATGGAAGTGTCCTCTGTCTCTAGCTTCTATGTGTCTAAAACACAACTTCTAGCAGCTGCTGCACTCCTTCAAGTGACTTTTATTGTGCTCGCAGTGTGTTCATGTTGTGTGCAGCTTCACTGATGGGTCACTGCGGCCAATAATCCGACCAATCCTAAACATGCTATCCGACAGGTTTTTAGGAAAAACCAACAGAACCCATAAAAACAGCCTTAACATAGCGACAGCCTTGGATTGTGACTCCGACATGACATTTAATGTCACCAATCAGGATGACGGCGTATTATCTGACTGAACAATCCCACAGATTGGCTACGTTCACACTGAAGTGTCCCCCAACCGCACCCAATGTTCTGATATTCATCATTAATTGGGCCTGAACATCCAGAGAGCAGAAAGTTCTATTGGGACCAGCCCTACTAGTTATTATAACAACTATGAACAATAATGAACAACTAATGAGCCTTCCAGCATCAAGCCCTCCTCGTATCTGGACCTCCGTCTTGACAATCCGACAGCCTTGATATCCGACATAGAAGAAGGTTTTAAATTTAGTGTCGGATTATCGAGTCACAACTGTATTTTCAAAAAATCTCTATTATCCCCCAGAACTTTAGGATCTTAACACTCTGAACCCCAAACAGTTTCTGGATGGTTTTTTTTTGCTGAATGTGGACTCCTTCAGTCCTGCACATTCTTTTAAAACAGTACAACCATGATTAGAAAACAGAAGAAGTGAAGAGTGTCTTCTGTGCGCAGATATATTATGACAAAATCACAAAAAAGTAAAATACAGTCCGGGAGTCAACATGTACGAGTGCCCACAGATGTCACCAGTTCTGGAAAAACACAGTAACTCTACATACAAAACCCATCATGAGTTAGATTTTTATTATATTTCTGATCTACTTAGTGTGAGCACAGCCTGCAGTTCAGCCGAAAAGTCCCTGAATTTTCACGACTGCTAATATCTCCTAAGTTGGGATGAGAAGCGCAGAATACTTTGGTTTGAGCAAACAGTTTATTTTATAATGAGTGATTCTGATGAAATATGTTTTTGGTTAATCAAACAGCACATCACAGATGAGTAGTTCAATGACAGTCTGTAAGTTGAAAATCTGACTTTTTTTTAATTTCTAGCTCTTATAAATGTTGTAATTTTGCTTATTTTGTAAAACACAACGAGCCTTTCAACCTGCTGATGAGTTTTGGGGTTCAGAGGGTTAATAAGCTGCAGGCTAGCTGGTGGACGCTCATTACCACCGGCTGAAAACAAACAGGAACTAAATTAACTTTCTGTCCTACCTGACAGTAAAATGTGCCTGCAGCATTGTCACACTGGATAGCGACGACTGAACACCTGAACGTATGCAGGAGAAAGACGTTTTATTCTTTTCTTGATGCCGACAACGTTCACACGATGCCACTGAACCGCGGACGCTTTGGTCGGAGACCAGATTGCTGGTAATTACCGACGAAGCCTCGTGCTGCTCCTCTCTGACTGGGGAGGATCGGCCTACAAACGTCTCGTTAGCTCGCCTCCTACCGGCTGCACATCCACAAATTTTCCCGTTTTCAAACCTGTAATTGATCCACGATTCAAGTGACTGAGAGCGCGTGAATGAGACGCAGAACTTTATCTGTCAAGGCGACAAAACGCTTTATGAAGTGCAGACAAATCAGCAGCTGTACTCCACATGACTGAGACTTTCCCAGAAATTATCGAGCTGAACAATCTCTATTGCTACCTGTGTGTATGTGTGTAGGTGTGTGTGTGTGTGTGTGTGTGTGTGTGTGTGTGTTTGTTTATGTCAGACATTAAATGCTTTAATCTGTAAATCTTTTCTGTCTCCTGCTCTTCGCCTCCTCAGACAGAGACTCAGTCAAGGTAAGACCTTCCTTCTTTTCTTCCATTTGCTAAAAAATAAAAACAAAAAAAAGACATGTTTGGGTTAAAGCTCCGTTTCTGCTCACTCAGCTTCTGTTTTTTTTTTACCTGCAGCACATACAAAGGGAGAGAAAAAGTAAATTCATTAGTCGATTTTGTCGACATTGAGCAGCAAAGGCGTCTTTACTTCTTCTTCTGTCCTTATTGATTTTTATTCTTTAAACACCTGCTAAAGGCTGAAATTTAATGTTTTTATCGGTGGAATGTTTTGTTTTCTTTGGGCAAAGAGCATCGAGATAAACGGTTATGTGACGTCTGCTTTAACTACCACTCAATAAACTCACAGTTAGAATCTGAATCAAATGTTTGCTCAGTCAGTTTTCACATATTTGGGGTTTTTAGTGAAGAACTAATGTGAACATTTAAAAAAACTCAACAGACAGTGATTGTTAGGAGACAAATTAGGAGCAAAACCAGTTCACAGCGTGCAAAAATGTGCAAATTATTACGCTGAGTGTGCAACGTTAGAGTCTACAGTGTGAATAATGTGAGATGTGCAACAGATAAATGACATTATCGTTATATTAATGTGACGAGGCGACATCACTGGAGGTCTCTGGCCTTGTTGATAAGCTGGAAAGAAGCTGATCATGTTTTTGGTGAGTCAGGCTAAGATTAGTCAGACTAGGAAAAGTCAGACTAAGATTAGCCTGATTTACTATGCGGATATACGCCTCCCATTGGCTGCACATTTCAGGTGGCTCTATCTGTGCGCCACCTTCAGGTTAGCAGCCGACCACACTGAAAATTTCAAATTGTGCAAGTCAGTTTGGGTTGTGCGGTAATCCAAACCTGCTCGTTTTTTTTACAGCGGGTTATTAATTTGAATCATCTCGCTGCATGCATAGTTCCACCATCACCATCCTTTGCTCACCTCCGCCCTCGAAGGCTGTAATTGGTTTCAAGAAACACAAACAAGCCGGAGCAGGATGACAGAGCGATGCAGTGAGACCGTTATGTTCATCAAAATAGACTGAAAAGGATAAAGGTAGATTGACGCGTGTTGTACTGAGAGAGTCCAAACATGTCGTGAGAATGTGGCGTTATATTTTTTTGGAATGACGCGTTTGTCGAAGGCTTTCGTTGAGTGGAACCTTTGTTGTTGTTGGATGTGGAGTCTGTGTGGATTTGTCATGTCATTTGGATTTTGCTACCAATAAAGCCTCCATGTGTAAATGATAAAGACACAGTTAGACATCATGGAGCGTCACATGATGGTTAAAAACGAAGCTAACAAGATGATTTTTCACACAAAATATCCGCTCTGTGTTTTAAATAATCTATAAGCTATGATTTCGATGCATTTCTGATCCTCGAGCCGTTTTTAGATGCTCCACAAAAACATCCAGCGTTTAAACATCTAACATGTGGCGACAACGAGGAAGAAACGACACGACTGGGTGGAAGAGAAACCCCAAAATGAGCAAAGAAAAAAGAAAAGCACAGTCTGCTTAGTGAGGGAAGGAGGGAGCAGAAAGAGGGAGCGCAACAGATCACGGTTACATCCAGCGCTTGTAGTAATTAGTCCCTTAAGCGGAGCTTTTTTTCCCAAGGCAAACATTTGGTTTGTTGAATACTCAATGAGCAGATTAGCATGTCTTTATACCAGAAGGCTGAGCTCACAGACACACATGCCTGAGTTTAGCAGCTTGTGTGTGTGTGTGTGTGTGTGTGTGTGTGTGTGTGTGTGTGTGTTCGCTGGTGTTTTTGGAGGAGGTGGAAACAGGAGGAATGTTTTAATATGTTATCTCCTGCCCCCCGTGCAGTGTATCCTCCTCCACACACACACACACACACACAAGTACAGGCACCATGATGGGAGCGATTAGCAGTGTGTGTGTGTGTGTGTGTGTGTGTGTGTGTGTGTGTGAGGTCGTCAGAAATCACTGATAAAGACACAGAGGCCACAATGATGAATGCCTTTCATTAGCGCCCCGCGAGAACACGCACACACGCAGACACACAGCGCTGCTCTTTGACATGGCGGCCAACAGTCACTTCATGAAACCAATAAGCCCCTTGTCAGTGGTCCACAGTTGCCTTGGCAACAGTCCACAGAGTACAGTGTGTGTGAATTGCATGAACATCTGTGCCTTAATGTCCTTGGCGTTAGCACCTCGCGCACCGATAAAGGCGGCGTGGGTGTAAACGGCGCGCTCGCGCGTGTGTGTGTGTGTGTCTGCGCGCTCATTGTTGCCGGTACAGGCAGTCAATTATGTAGTCGTGGTGCGTTCAAGGACTGCACCTTTTGTTGGAGGTGACGGGACTGAATGCACTTATCAGATGGAGCTAAGCGTTGGTTCGGTTATCAATGCCGGTGATTAGTTTGTGCTTCTGGGGTTTTCTTTTGTGCATATTTGTGATATTTCCCATCAGATGTGTTTAAAGTCTCACAATGTATTTTTATTTTATTTTATAAAAATGTAATCGTGTTATAACTCTTTAATTGTGTGCTGCATGTTTAGAAAATCCCTAACGAGGTCCCTTTCCAGTTTTGTCTGACCTTTACAATTAATCACCTGTTGGACTAAACGCCAGCTTGTTGTTGATCGCTGCTGCTGCTGCGCTCCGTCTTCTCTTTTTGTACTTTTTGTCCTGTTTTTTTTTTTTTTTTTGTCGGCGGCAAACAAGCTTTACAGCTGCAGCCCGTCTGCCTTTGTTGCTGCTGGGATGCTCTTTTAAAAGCTGCCGAATGCGGCGTACGGTCTGGCCTTCCATGCTGCGTCGGCCGCACAATGAGAGACAAATTGAGTTGAACAGGGTGAGAGATGGATGACACCAAATGACTTCAACCCAGAGTTCTAAAGATTCTGGGCTTGTGCACAAAGCGCTGGTGTGTGTTGGCGAGAGAACAAAGCGGAGAAACAAAGGGAATAAAACACAGAATTTCAGACACGTCTCTCGTTCTGTGTGTTTTTTTAAAAAATCCTTTTTGTCTGATAAAGTTTAGAGGTAAATCTGATTGGACAGTTTACTGTGTGTGCGCTCAGCCAAAGGAAAAGACAAGTTGGGTCTCGTTTATTGTGGCAGATTTTTCATTCAGGTAAATAAACACCTGGTGACCCTCTGAACCCAAAGCAGTTTCCTGCTTTAGTCACATTTTCACTCAGAGTCAGATTATTTTTCACCTCAGTGGAAGCAGCACAACCACGACTGGACGTAGAGAGAACTCAACAGTGTCTTCTAGACGGCCAGAAACCATAAAAAATAAAGAATGAATTAAATTATTCTAATTCATTTATTTTGCAAATTAAAAATGTATTTGTTTTAAATGACCTGGAATCAACATGTGCAGCATTTTTTCCCGAATGCCCACAGATGTGACTTTACATCCTATACATATTGTGGTATGAACAGTTTTAATTTGTTTGCTCTCTGCTTTGTGCCGACAGTCTGCAGTTGAGGCTGTAAATCTCAAATTTTTTTAATCACGTAAATGTTGTTTACAGCTGAAAAACTCTTGGCTTATTGGTTTTGCTAAGGTGTGCAGAATTTAGAGTTTTTTTTTTTTTTTAACAGAATCTACTTGTTTCTGGAAATTTTTTTAAACAACTCATGTAGAATAAAGTGATTTTTTTTAAAAATATGACATGCATCACAGATTATTAATTTAAGGACCATCAGAAAAACAAAAATCTGATTATTTTTTCTGTTTTTAAAGTTTCTGGCTGCGATTAAAGGTGGAATTTTGGTGATTTAAAAAAACATTTTTTTTTTAAAGAGAACACAAACCTGTTGACAGGTTTTGGAGTTTAGACTGTCACCAAATGAGACAACACAGTGGAGGTTGTGCTCCTGACCCACTGATGAAATGATATGAACGTCCTCGCAGACATTTGTGGCACTTGTTCTGTCACCCAGCAGTTATGTTTCTGCCAGAGAAAGTAGGCGGAGTTAATGCTCTCTAACTCACCTGTGTGAGGTGTTGTACTGACATCATCTCCTTTTTGCCTCCATGTGGCCTGAGGATGACATCACACAGGTAATAATGTGTCTCAACAGCTCACCTGCAATTACTGCTGATCACTGTGGGTGTCACCAGTGAGAACAAAACGGAGATATTTGCTTTCTAGGTGCACACGTTTCACTTCCAGCGTTCGCTACGACTAACCTCACAAAGCGCACACTGCTTCATGCAGCATGCAAACAGTTCCTATCGAGCTCTGATCATCACAGTCTGCCATCAGCAGTTCAGTTCTCACAAGACGTATCCGATACGACATTGTGGGTCAGAGTTTCCAGACTTTCGTACTGCAAAATCCACCTGGATGTCGTCGGACACCTGGTGTTTTCTACGTCTACTGTATATGAATATTTGAATGCACCCTTTGAGACGAGACAACAAGAAGGAAGACAGGCGAGGTTAAGATTCCTGAGCAGCAGCAGAAACTCACTCATTATCACCTCGAACGCAAACCCTCTGACTGCTCAGTGGCCAGCAGGTCAGACTGGGGTTGAACTGGGCAGCGTCCAGGTGGCAGTGTGTTTGTATAAATAAAGCTGTAAGGATTTCACAATAAAAGCACATGATGATGATGATGATGATGTATAATGTTGGAAACACGGCTGCAGGATAGAAGGAAGTACTTGTGTTTTTTAACCTCTGTGCTGCATCCTGTTGATGTTTGCTGGTGGCCGACAGCATCATTATCACCTGGTCAACCCTGGATCACCGGAGAGACACGAGAAAAAAATAAAACTAAAACCACTGGAGGATACAGATATCATTATCAGGACCTGCTGAATCAATTTGAAACGAGAGGCAAATATAATTATGATGAAAACTCTCACACACACACAGAGCCGCAGAGTTCTTCACGTTGGCGGCGCTTGTACTGCCGGCGGCGCCTTCATTTGTCTCTGCAGCAAAATTAATTTGCTTTGATGTTTGTGAAAGAGCTAATTTGCAGGCTAATTAATCTAATCAGTCTGCAAAGAGGGCGAGAGAGAGAGAGAGAGAGAGAGAGAGAGAGAGCAGGAGAGGCGTCTCACTCAAGAACAGACACACACCTACACACACACACACACACACACACACACACTCTGACATTATTTGCACATACGCAGTACTAAAATGTAAACAGGTACAAGTGCTGCCAAACCGCACACACACACACACACACACACACACACACACACACACACACACACACACACACACACACGCTGAACATCACTCCTCCCCCACCAGAATCTTTGTCATCAACACTTGCAGCACGGCAAAGGGCAGCGGAAAGGTTACAAGCGTGAGTTAGTGGAAAGGTCGAGCTAAAGGTCCTGCTTTATTTTTCCTTCCCTCTGTCCATCGGCGGCCGGCTGAGGAGCGCCTCCCAATGAGAGCCAGATCAGCAGAGACAGGCGGAGCAAGAGGGGAAATGTTTAGCTGACCTTATTTTGATCTTTGCTTCTCAAAGAAGATTAATCCTCCGCTAACGGTATTTAAAAGGGATGCCATATTTGATTAAGAAAGAGAGACATCAATGGGTCTGCTCACCTCCCTCCACCACCAGCACCTCCACCACCAGCGACGCCGTGGTGATGTAGTCAAACTGTCAAGGATGCAGCGCTGCTTCGGTTTTTGTCTGATACAGTAGAAATGAAATGGCTTTGACAGGCAGGGAGTGGATCTTTGCCTTTCTGTTGCACACTTAGCGCCGCATTTCTCCCAATTTAGCTCAGAGCAGAATTCTTCACATATTCAAGGAAAAAATAAAATAAAATCACAGAATTGTAGCTCACATTTTTGCTTTTTCACCCGCTTCCGAGAATCATTTTCTTTAACAGCCAGTTTCGCCTCCGACAGGCTTCTTTCTCTCTCTGCTTCCAGCAACTTTCTGTTTTTATAACGTGTCCATTTACAGTTAAAGGCACTTTGGGGATCTAATTAGGTTGGGAAGCTATTAGCAGAGCCGCTACGCTGTCGCTCATTAAAGGGCTTCTTCGGCCAAATGGCAATAAAATACATAAAATTACAGCCACTAATCTTTACTTATGGAGGGTTTTTTTTGTGCAGGTTTTGAAGTGTTTGTCTCTGAGATGTCTGCCTTTAACCCAGAACAATGGAAAATAGATGAAAGTTTGTGTTCAGTGACATCTATAAAGACATTTCCTGGAAAGTATTTGGGGACATGTTTTGGGAGAAAGAAGCTGCAGGAATTTACACCTCGAATCCTGGTCCTCCAGGTCCGCAATCCTGCATGTTTTAGATGTTTCCCTCTTCCATCAGCTCATCATCAAGCTCTGCAGAAGCCTGATAACCATCCTGATCAGGTGTGTTGGAAGAGGGAAGCATCTAAAACATGCTGGATTGCAGCCCTCGAGGACCAGGATTGGACACCCGTGTAGTAGAACACGTGCCCAACAGGTTTCTGGCCGGTCATCACTTTATGACTAATACGACAAATCAGTTTCCTCTCAAGCTTCTCTTAAATATACGTTTGCTGCTTCTTTCAGAGCTCGTCCGTGTCTCCGTCGGCCAGTTTCCGGGCCGGAGAGAAGCACCGCAGTTCCAGTGATTACTCGTCCGACAGCAAGAAGCAGAAGACGGACGACAAGGAGCTGACCTCCACGCGCTACGTGGGTGAAAACGCTCCGGTTCTGGAGCTTAATATTTTCAAAGGAGAGATTAGGAAAGAGGGAGAATTAAATTATTCAGCTCTCTGGCGATCACGCAGCCTCTTTAACTGCCTTAACTGCACCTCTGGTCTGAAATGAACCTGAGCTTTAATATTCACCGTTTTAGTGCAGGTTTGTTTTATTATGCAATCTGCACGGAGAGCGACAGACACTGACGGAGGCAAAGAGGCAAAGGTCCGTGTTCGGCTCTGAACTCGGTGTGTTCCGGTTTATGGTCTGGGCCTGCTGGTTGTTTTTCATGGAGTCAATTAAATCCTGGATTTAAAATTAGTTTAAAGAGGTGTTGTCCTACGTAGCCACACTGATCCTGATCTGTAGATAGAAGTTCTCAAGATCTTAATCATCCATTATTTCCAGAACGACACCATATCTGGGCGCCTTTGACAGTAGCATGATGTAAAAATCCTCAAATCTGTTCTTTCCTTCTTCCATCCCAGGAAAGCGACGGAGAGAAGAGCGATGACAACCTGGTGGTCGATGTCTCCAATGAGGTATGAACCCAGAACTCTACTATCTGATCCATCCAAAGCAAAGGCGTCCTTACTTCCATCCATCCTTCTCCCTCTCGTCTACATTTGTTCTCCAGGATCCGGCGTCTCCTCGAGGAAGCCCCGCCCACTCGCCTCGGGAGAACGGATTGGACAAAAGCCGCCTGCTGAAGAAGGACGCGCCGCTGAGTCCGTCCTCCATCGCCTCCTCCAGCAGCACACCTTCATCCAAGTCCAAAGAGATTAATTTGGTGAGTCATTTGGGGTAATTATAGCCTTCTGATCTTCTTTTTCATTATTTCTCAGGGTGGGTTTCTATTTTTAGGCCTCCTGTAAAATGTAGGAACGGTAAGCAGTCACTGTCAGTAAGGTATAGAATAGAGGAGAGGTTCAACGTGGAACCAAAAGCAGCGTTTTTAACTCGATCAGGTGTTGAAAGCAGCACTTGGTATCCAAAGCGAGGAAGGTTTCTGCTTTTAAATGTGAAAGTAGCATGTTTTACCTTAAAACCCGTCCTGTGTTCAGACACCTGTAAAGATTGATTTTGCGTTGCAGAATGAGAAGTCCACAACCCCCGTGTCCAAGTCCAGCACCCCGACGTCTCGCTCCGAAGCCCCGACGCCCAGCAGCACCTCCACCCCGGGCCTGAGGTCCGCACCCAGCAAACCGTCGGGAGTGGAGACTCTGGGTGAGCGACGCAAACAGAACTTCTCAAACACAAACAGAACGTAGAACTTTTCTGCATTAATCAGTGATAAAGTGGATCTGAACCTTCTCTAAACCGTATCACCAGCTCTGATATTAACTGTTTTAGTGCAAATTTGTATTGTACAGAGCTGATAACAGACACACATACAGAGAAACATGGACAAAGGTCTGCATTTAGCTTAGAACCCAGTATGTTCCGGTTAAGGCCTCTCTCAATGAGTGTCTGCAAGGAGGCTCAGTGGTTAGCACCATCGCCTCGCAGCTAGAAGGTCGCCAGTTCGTGTCCCGGTGAGGACACTCCATGTTCTCCCCGTGCAGCGTGGGTTCTCTCTGGGTTCTCCGGCTTCCTCCCACAGTCCAGAAACATGCTGAGGTTAATTGGTGATTGTAAATTGTCCGTAGGTGTGAATGTGAGTGTGCTTGGTTGTCTGTCTCTAAGTGTAGCCCTGTGATAGACTGGTTACCTGTCCAGGTGAACCTGCCTTCACCCTGAGTCAGCTGGGATAGACTCCGCCTCCCATAGTGAGGATTAAGGTGTAGAGATGATGGATGGATGATTTAATGAGCTGATTTGTGTTTTTGTATTAGATTTCTTTCCTGTCACATAAGTGGAAATAAAACTTTTCAAGACCCTCATGCACCCATTATTTCAACACAACATTTCGCCGTCTTTGCTGTTTCTGTGCATCTCCAGCGTAGGCAGCAGCAGACCTATGACTTGTTGCTGTCATTAGCATGCAGCACCGTGCTGGTTAAGCCGGCGCTATTTTGAGACAGAACATGATAACATTTAACATTTAATCACCGATCGGAAACTCAGAAACATTCCCGCAGTGCAAAATGACACAACTCCTGTCTGCCTGCAGCTCCTGGTCTCCGCACACCGCTGGCAGTGCCCTGCTCGTACCCGGGTCCGTTCGGGATGGTTCCTCACCCAGGCATGAACGGAGAGCTCAGTGGAGCCGGAGCAGCCTACAGCAGTCTCCACAACATCTCCCCACAGATGAGCGCGGTCGCTGCCGCCGCCGTGGCAGCGTACGGACGCACGCAAGTGGTAACCAACACCCAGAAATACTGTACATTCAAACATTAGCACGCTGTCAGTACTCACACAGATTGTGATGTTCTGGTTCTAATCATTCGTCACCTGCTGCCAGTTCTTCTGTTTAGGAAACCAAATTAGGTTTTTACAGCTTTTGGTGTGACTTCATAAAAAGTGTAAAATTGTCCAAGAAAAGCAAAAAAAAATTGGAGAATATGCCTTCAGTGTTGGTATTACTTCATCAGGTAGATGGATTTGGAGTTCAGAACCTCCAGGAAGTTAAACCAGGCAAGATTTGACCAAAAAGAAGCATTTTTTAAAGACTTCTCAGCATCATTACACCACTACAGTTCAGTTGTCTAAAGCTGGAATCTACTTTAAACTGAAATATCTTCTTTTAAATGCTGTTGAAGCTGCCGTTATGTTTACTGTATGTTGCTGGCTAACAGCTCGGCCTTTAACCCGGATGTGTTTTATTACCAGATCCTTTCTGGTTTCGCACCTGTATGTCCATGAATCCTGCTACTTCCTGTTTCCTGTGCCCCACCAGCGCCACCTCTCTTTCCTTTTCCCGTCTTCTGTCACAACCAGTTGTTTCAGCGGTGGTGTATTTGCGCTAAACCTGTGTCCCCCTGTCGTGTCCTGTAGGTGGGATTCGATCCTCACCACCACATACGTGTCCCCGGCCTCCCTCCCAACCTGTCGGGCATCCCTGGTGGAAAACCGTATGTTTCCCCTCCTCACAGCACCTTATTTCCTCCTACCTGTCCCTCTATCTGTCTCTTTCTGTTCTCTTTGTCCGTCCACATTGACCCCCCTTGCTCTCCCTCCAGAGCTTACTCCTTTCATGTGAGCGCCGACGGACAAATGCAGCCTGTGCCTTTCCCTCCGGACGCGCTGATTGGCCCCAGCATCCCGCGCCACGCTCGGCAGATCAATACCCTGAGCCACGGGGAGGTGGTGTGCGCCGTGACCATCAGTAACCCGACGCGTCACGTCTACACCGGCGGCAAGGGCTGTGTCAAGGTGTGGGACATCAGTCACCCGGGCAACAAGACCCCCGTATCCCAGCTGGACTGCCTTGTGAGTCCTTACAGCAGTCATGTGTTGTTATTAAAACACTCCTCCACTGTTCCACCTGATCACTGCATGGGTGCTTCGTCTGTCTCATCAGAACAGAGATAACTACATCCGCTCCTGTCGGCTACTTCCGGACGGACGGACTCTCATCGTCGGGGGCGAAGCCAGCACGTTGTCCATCTGGGATCTGGCGACGCCGACTCCTCGGATCAAAGCAGAACTGACTTCGTCGGCGCCTGCTTGCTACGCTCTGGCCATCAGCCCCGACTCCAAAGTCTGCTTCTCCTGCTGCTCCGACGGAAACATAGCTGTCTGGGATCTTCACAACCAGACTCTGGTCAGGTATGGAGCTGGGTACCGGGGGGGCGTTTGAGGGTTCTGACTGGGGCAGGGCAATAATCCAAACTTATCAACCTGAGAGGATCGAGCTACAACAGGCTATAGCCACCAAAACCATCGAGCCATGAGCTTTATGAAGGTCTCAAACTGTAATATGTTCCCCTGAACTGGCCCATATTTAAAATAAATACATAAATAAATAAAATTTAAATTTATAAAAGGTTTATTTCAGCAGCTTGTGCATCCAAAAAGTACAGCAAAATAAAAATGTCATAAAAATACAGTAATTTTCAGAATTAAAACACATCTTCCTGCCGTGATTTTACATGAAATCGTGTGAACTTTGTTGGCTTTTTCTTGTTTAATGAGGATATTTTCATGTGTAAAAACAGTAAAAATGACCTGAAAATATGGTTGAATAATGTATAATCATAATATAATATAATAATTGTAATAATTTGTGTTTTAGAGTATAGTTTTATCTAAATAATCTCGTAATAAATGTTAAAATACTGTTGTGAAACTAGTAATTTAGCTTCTAATGGGAAGATTCAGATCATATCAAGCGGTTTTACGTTTTACTTGTAACTTTACATATTTTTAATATTCATATTTTAGTCTTTATTGTTCATAAAGTATGAAAATATTTGGTTTACCTTTGAAAAGTTGTCCAGCAACTATTAATAAGCAAATAATTCTGTGTATAATTACAACAATTTAGTGTTAAATTTAGATAAAATCAAGGATAATATTTTTTCCATGTAATTAACTTAAATAAATCTTGTATATTGAACTTATCGTTAAACAAGTGTGCCTGCCTTTTAAATTAATTGATTTTCCTTTAAAAAAAAGTCAAACCATCGTTATTAATCTACTTATGATTGTAATTACAACCATAAACTTTTAATTTGAGATCATATCGAGTTTAAAAATAAAAATCTTGTGTATTTAATAGATTTTATTAGACATGTAGATTCACTGTCTGTTGGCAGCTTTATTAATTTGTTCGTTTATTTAAAAAATAAAATTATCTTTGTTTACCTTCAGTCTGACATCGGGCACTAAATTGTCTGATTCCAACCAAACTTTACCGACACATCCTGCCGCCTGAGACCGACGTACTGAACAGATGCTTTCTTTACTTTTTCCTTCTCACCTCTTCGTTCTTTGAGTTTTCTGAACATTGTTGTGTTTCCCTGCAGGCAGTTCCAGGGCCACACCGACGGAGCCAGCTGCATAGACATCTCCAACGACGGGACCAAGCTGTGGACCGGAGGTCTGGACAACACCGTCCGGTCCTGGGACCTGAGGGAGGGACGCCAGCTCCAGCAGCACGACTTCACCTCCCAGGTACACGAGAAGCTCACAACTTATCTGCATAGCTTCAAATAGCTCCTGTGCGACTTGCTGCTGTAAATACGTGGATGCTAAACGTCTGCATGAGTCTGCTCGGTTCTCTGGGAGTCTGCGGTTGTAAGTAATCAAAAAGCCGGGTTTTGCACAGATGTCTGTTATTATTATTATTATTTAGCGGCTAAGTTGAAGTAAAATGTCACAGACTGATGAAAATTCTGCATCGCGGGACAAGTCGCTGCCATTTGCGGTTTGTGTGATTACTGTCTCAGGTTTTGATTGATTGCAGTAATTTACGAGCTCAGTTCAGAGCATTTAACCCGCGATAAAGGCCAGACCGAGCTCCGTCGTTTTGGCCGCTCCTCATATACTTTTAACACTAATAATACTTGCAGTTAGGATTTAGTTTTTTTTTTTCAGGTGAGGAGAAAAGCAGCAATAATAGACCATTACTGCAATTTTCCTGAATACACCCATTTCACAACCTCGGCGTCATGCGAGGAGGCGAGTGTGCATTAAGGAGAGCTGGGAGTCGGCGGGGCAGGCGAGGAGAGGAACGGCGTTCGTACGCTTTCCAGCAATAACTGGTGTCGCCCGCCTCCCTCCTCGGCTCCTCAGCAAGTTCAGCAAAATTAACTCCAGCTAAGAAAATACCGTAAATACTGCTTCAGACACTGAAGCGTCTTCGTAGACAAAGGAAGTGTTTATGGTGGAGACAAGCATTAGTGCAGCTCCCACAGACAGTTAATGCTGCCAAAGCTGTTCGACTTTATTTAAGATGATCACGTACGTTTTTATATAAGCGCTGTCACTGTTGGGTTCGCTTGCAGATCTTCTCGCTGGGTTACTGTCCAACGGGCGAGTGGCTGGCGGTGGGGATGGAGAACAGCAACGTGGAGGTCCTGCACGTCACCAAACCGGACAAGTACCAGCTCCACCTGCACGAGAGCTGCGTGCTGTCGCTCAGATTCGCGCATTGTGGTAAGAACCAGCAGATCTACTGAGAGGGTTCAGAAGGTTTGGGAAGGAAACGAAAAGAAAGGAAAACGGTTTCACTGTTTTTCCTCTTTAATGTGACACATGCTCAATTTATTTGGGCTTTTTCGCTAAAAGAATTTACAAAAATAGACGCTTTCATGTCAAAGTGAACACAGATTCCTGCAAAGTGATGTCAATCAGTTTAAAATCTAACACGTGAATGACTGCATTAATGTTCACCCTCTTCAAAAGTGAAATACATAACGTGCCATGTGAGGCCAAAGTCACACAATTAGTAAATTAGACATCGTTTAAATGCAGTGAATGTGTCTCAGGTGCCTGTCGTATAAAGACACCTGCAGCTAGAAGGTCCAGTCACCTGTAGATCAGTTCTCCTGGAGGTAACTTCTCTAGAGGAGTTTGAAGTGTCATTGGCTAAGATGGGAGGGACTGTGCATACACCAACAGCTCATGTTAAATCTTAATTAGAGTTTACCAGGCGTGTCGGAGATTCTGAGGTCGACTGGAAGACGGTTCTTTGGTCTGATGAGACCAAAAAGTTGAGCTTTTTGGCCACCAGACGGGCTTCTGAAAGGCTCAGAAGGCAGAGGGTAAAATCAACACTACAAACTAGAGGAAATGTTAAAAAACAACCTAATGCAAGAAAAAAAAAGCAAGTGGAAGATTTGTTTTCCATCAAGACAACAAGATGAATATTCTGGAGGGACTGAGTCAGAACCCAGAGCTCATCCAGTAGAGACTATGTGGTTAAACCTGAAGTGGGCTCTTCACTCATGATCCCTGTGCAGCCGTAGAGAGTTTGAGCAGTTTTGCAAAGAGGAACGATGTAAAATGACGTCGTCCAGATGTGCAGGGCTGATTGAAGCCTGTCCACATGTGGCTTCAAGTCAGTCTACTGAAGGCTGTATTTTAGGATTTATATTTTTAATTTGTACGAATCTGCTGAACATAAAATTTGTTGTTAATACTTGTCAAAAATGTTGGTTATTTATACCTCTTGCATATTTGCATGCACTGTGTGTGCTGCTCATGCACACATATCTTACATTGCATGGTAGGTAACAGATGCAGGAATGTGACTGGATGTGGTAGCATGATTAGAATTAACAGCTGAGTTAGCGGCGTGGCCTCTGCACGGCTAACTGTTTGAAACTTCTGCTGCAGGGAAGTGGTTCGTGAGCACAGGAAAAGACAATCTGCTGAACGCGTGGAGGACCCCGTATGGAGCGAGCATATTCCAGGTGAGTGCAGGACAGCGTGAAGCGAGAACACAAGCATTGCAGGCAGCCGAGAGGCCAAACGGAGCTCAGTCTAATAACCAGGAGGTCACCAATTCTATTGCTGCGTCTCTGAGAAAGACATCAAACCCTTTTGTGCTTAGTAAATGTAAACTTCTGCACGAAAAACAGTCAATAAAAGCTGTTATTTATAGAACGTATAGAAAGTGTTCCACTTGTATACTCACAAGTGGATGTGCTGAATGCAGCACGGCTGCTCTCGGCTCTCATTTTGTGACATTATTGTGCATGCAAGGACACAAACGTTAGAATATCAAGCCTTTATCGGGGTCTCGGGAAAGAAAAGACAGTGAAAGCGAGTTTTTAGAGATATTGTGGCTTGGACAAGTAATTGAATTGGCTGATAGAAAAGTTGCTCCGTGGAACACCTCTCTGTCACACGCCTGACCTCCAGCCTCCTCGTCGGCTTGTTTTTCTCACATTCTCGCACATCTTTTATTCCCCTTCGCAGTCAAAGGAGTCATCCTCAGTGCTGAGCTGCGACATCTCCATAGATGATAAGTACATTGTGACAGGCTCAGGAGACAAGAAAGCGACCGTCTACGAGGTCATCTACTAGGAGAGCTCTGGTCATTCAGCTACAAGGCCATCCTTCCATCCAGGTCTGACGTCTCCATCACCTATGTACAATTTTTAATGTGTATAAAGTCGAGTTGAATGGAACAAACCAAACGCTCTCTTGGACCGTGACCTTCCTTTGATCTACCCGGCTGGTCGTGGAACAAGTGGAACTAAGCACAGAGATTTTTTTTGTTCTTTTGCTCTTAAGTGGCTTTTTGTTCTTGTGAGGATGAATGAATGTCCGTGTGCGCCGACTCTGAAGTGAGCGCTGTTGTCTGCATAACATTCCTTTATGTAACAATTGACATAAGCCTCCCATGTATTTGCTTTTATCCGACATGTTGGGTAAAGTACCAAAATGTACTTTGTGTGTAGCCGAAAGCTTTAAAAGTATTTGAACTAGATGGCAGATCAGGGTTGAACCGTTCCTGGGCGACTCCTGAACCTCCCTCTAGGAAACAAGTGCAGTCGTGACTCGATAATCAGACACTAAACGTAAAACCTTCTTTCATGTCAGATATCAAGGCTGTCGGATTGTCAAGACGGAGGTCCAGATACGAGGAGGGCTTGATGCTGGAAGGCTCATTAGTTGTTCATTATTGTTCATAGTTGTTATAATAACTAGTGTGTTGTTAGAACACTACGCATCGCTGGACTTCAGCCTAACTGACCGGTTTGGTGCACGTTCCACCCCGGGGCAGCGCTCTGACCGGGTGGAAGTGTCCAGAACACACAGGCAGTACTTGGCTGCTGATGCTAGTTTAGTTAGCGCTCACACTTCTGTTTCCTCCATCGGTGGCGGTGGGGGAGTGGCAGATACGCTCCACCGTTACCATCCATGTTTACTTCCATAAACACTGAGCACGCTCGCTGCGTGTGACGTCGTCGTGTCCTCTTCTGCGCATGCGGGACACTTTTGGCTCGTATGAAGTTCCCACAGCAGATCACATACAAGTCGCATTGAAGTGGAAACGTGAAGGAAGTCACAAAGAAATCCTCATTGAGCATCAAGTCCTGCAGTGTGAACGTAGCCAATCTGTGGGATTGTTCAGTCAGATAATACGCCGTCATCCTGATTGGTGACATTAAATGTCATGTCGGAGTCACAATCCAAGGCTGTCGCTATGTTAAGGCTGTTTTTATGGGTTCTGGTGGTTTTTCCTAAAAACCTGTCAGATAGCAGGTTTAGGATCGTTAAGGGTCGATTATAGAGTCACGACTGTCTATAAATAACTGAAAAATGCTGCTGATAATTAAGCGTTAATGTTCAGATCGCAGCAGGAGAAGCGGTGATACGTTTCCTCTCTAAACTTATTGCTGTTTCTGTTTCTGCTGTGTTCTGTTCACGTCCCGACTTCTTGCATCATTTCTGTGATTAATTGCAACTTGCGGCCGTGTCGCACTGATTTGTGAGGGTTCCTCCAAATAAACACACAGGAGCAGCAATTATGCACGTGGATGTTATTTAAAGCAAATATATAAGAGGCTTCAGTCACGAACAAAGTTGATTTTTATGTTTTTTTTGAGTTTATCCTTAATTCGCCTTTCCTCCATATGCAGCATGTTGTTTCCTCACACTAAATGCTCCTTCTGTTAAACTGTTGAGGGGTGTTTTTTTTTTTTTTGATGCCTTCCATGTGTGGAAAAACACCAACAATTAATTTCAACACATATGCATGCTGAGTAAATGATTAGCAGCAGTGGCATTGTCCTTTAAGGAATGGACTGGAATAGTTGTTTTTTTTCTGCAGGGAGGATAACAATCAATAACACTCTCCTTTCTGAGTGCTAAATAAGAGGTCGGAGGCAGGAGACGATTAGATTAGCTTAGCATTCAGGCTAGTCACAGCGGTTGCTCTGTCCTAGAGGTTACCAGGCAACCAGGAGGGACAACTGCAGCTTGTCACGTTGTCATGTGCACAGATTAAACTAAAAACACAGTTAAGTCCTGAACTACATAAGCGCTGTGAGGCAGATTGAGGCTAGCAGTTCCCCCCAGCGTCCAGTCTTTATGCTAAGCTAGGCTAACCAGCAGCTGCCTTTAGCTTCGTATTTAACTAAAATAATATTTCAAACTATTTCTTCAGACGCAGCTTGTGCTCATTACCTCCAGCATGTATTTCCTACCTGTGTTCCTTCAGTGTTTTTATTTATTTTTGTCATTTAATTCAACTTCTGTGTGAGCTCAGTGTGTATGTGTGTGTGTGTGTGTGTGTGTGTGTGTGTGTGTGTGTGTTTCGACCCCGTCGGCACCGAACAAACAAACTAACCAGTTTGTCCTCGGCGCCCTCACCACCGGCTGACCTCTGCACTCGGTTCCGTCCCTCTGTTCGGACTCCTCTGGATGCTCGCTTGATTCTGTCCGACAGATTTCAGCAGAAGACTGGATTTGTCGGCGTTTGGAGGTCGCCCACCCCTCGGTTTCCTGCTTGGATTGGACTCTCGGGCATTTATCTGGAAAACAAGTGGACGGTGATGCGGTCATGATTTCTCCTGGATTCACTTCTGTCGGCTTGTAGAAATAACACAGTGCCTTTATGCTGCTACGCTTCTGGCCCCATTTCGTCCTGCTGAGTGTTCGGCTACACGCGGAGCTGAAATGTGACAGACTCCTCTGTTGGAGACGTTTTTAAAAATTTTACTGTTTTTTGAGTGTGTAGTGCATCTGGCAACACGTGAGGACGGATTTCATGTAAAAGCTCAGCAAAGAAGCAGATTATTCACTTTGGTTTTTGTCCACTTTGAAGCGATCAGGACCAAATTTATCATCGTTTTTACTGCTTTGCTGAACACGTGCATGTAAAATATACAGTTTACTGCAGCTCTAGTCGGATTGTTGTTCACCACAAGTTCAATTATGCTTTTTTTAATGTATTTCTTTCTGCTTTGAAACCTCTGTTCAACATCACACTCATCTGTATCTCATCTGCAGTAGGTTTAAGCTTCTCCTAGACAATAATCCTGTTAGAAAACTGTCCAGATCTGATGTCAGCTATCCTTAATCATAACTCAAACAGCAGTTTTAAATTTTCAGCATTAAAAACATTAGATTTTGCTATTTCCAGTCAGTTTCGGTTAATTTGAGACCAGATTTTAAGACTTAAAATGTCGATTCCAGGCCTGTTGAATCCAAAAAGAACGAGAAAGAGCTGAATCTACCTCTGAACAGTGGTGGATGTAGCTTCTATGGCAACTAAACTGAAGATGATAAACATGTTATTGTCATATTACTCAGAGCCTCCTAGTAATACAGATGGAATCCCTTTTTTCCAGTAGAGGTAGATGCAGCCTGTTTCAGAGACTCTGCAGAAAAGACTAAATCGACAAACCAGAAAATTTTAACCGTGCATCTCTGATAAAGAGAGAAGCGCTCGTGCTCAGTATTAGCCTGCCTGGGATCCATCTTCCTGTCTCGTGCTCCTGTAAGGTCTTAAATATAGATCTAAAGAGCAGGAGAGTGAAAGATCAGATTTTGAGAGCCTGGGAAACTCTCGTGCAAGTATTAACTCGTCTCAAAGTTCTCCTCAAAGCGCATCCTTAAGCTCGCCGCAGAAAATCAATATACATCAAATCTGTTGAGTCCTGAACTGGAAGCGTTCTTTTCTTTATTTCTTTTGCAGTATTTGGTGTTTTTGTTGGGAGGGGAGGATGTACTAAGATTCAGATTCACATGACTGGAGATGTTTCTGTACATTTACGTGTGTGACCCGAAGCGTCCACGCTGGTGTGAAGTGGAAGTTCTGCAGCGTAGTCATCCGGGTCGACGCCACACGGAACATAATTCAGTGTTATTACAGATATTTTAGGTCATGACAGTGGTTTGTTTCTCACAGTGTTTGCCTTATCCTGTGTTTTTCTTTCTTTCTTTCTCTAAATCTGCAGTCAGATATGCTTTTAAAACTCATCCACTCTGCTCTGCTGTGCTTTTCCCGCTCTGGAATGAGTCATAATATTCTGGTGGCACCTTCTTGAACTTGTATCTACTCTGCAATCTTTCATCTGGGAAGAAAAAAAGAAAAAAGAAATAAGAAGAAGAAAACTACACTCATGTCAAACCTGAATGTTACTCGTCTCATCTGAAGGCTGACGCGACCCGACGCAGAACCGATGTTGTGTACGATAGCGATGTGTAGAGCGTTCAGCCTGACCGGGCTCATGAAGGTATTATAACTTCACTGTAAACATGTAATTATTCCAGCTTACAGCGGAAAGAAACCTCCTGTTGCTAGTTGAGCTTTTTTCATTCAATACAAAATGCCTTTGCTCTCTTTTTTCTAGTCTGTGGTTGATTTTATTAAATTATTGTGTGGAAGTATTTCGTCTGAGCCTCGTTCACTGCTTCGCTTCCAACTCGTCGTCTCGGAGAGTTTGCACGTCCAAATGCTGTTTTTATTTTTGTTTATTGTTTTTATTTATTATGAGTGATTTTCACCTTGAAGCTGCAGATGACCGTCTCAAAAACACAGATTCAGACTTCAAGGGTAACAAAACTCTAATAATGAGGCAGTTTTATGTTGTTTAAGCAGAATCACAGGTGAGCTGGTGTGCTCGAGCTGCACAGGGTGGAAGAGGAGTTCATAGATATGCACATTCTAGTACAGATAATACTGTAAAGCAACATCTAAGCTGTTTTATTGTGCAAGAAACAGATTATTTACATGGAAAAAAACTCCTAAATGTGCAGCTTTGGTACAAAAATATGAGCTTCAGGGGTTAAGATTATCAACCAGAGAGGGACTGACACAAATAATACAATTAATTGCAATTAAATCACCCAAATACGTTGTAAAAAGTCATCATTAATGCTTCAAATTACAGCAAAGCTGTGCAGCGATGACTCTGTGCCCAGAAGTTAAAGCAGCATCGGTTGGTATTGCTGTGGGTGGCTGTGCGTCAAAGGAGGATTTTCTGTATTTCTGAAGAGCGTCCGTGGTGTCTGATGATCTATAACAGAGCGGGTGAGAGTGGCTGACGGACTTGTAATACAGAACAGCCTATACGGGGCGACAGCAGATCCATTCCCTCCCGCAGGACGACATTAAACGCTCGTGACAGATCGCTTGACTCGTCCGTTTGGTCGCCGCATATTTCATTTCTCAATTCACACATTTGTGAATGGCAACCTGTTAATGGCCTCATTATCATCGGGCCTCTTTTCTGTGCACGCCCAGGGCTTTAATATCATAATGGTTTCCCTGACAGTGTCAGATTAGTGCAAAACTACTGCACTGACTGAGACGCTACGGGCAGCCGCAGGCGTTTATTTTGCAATAAAGCTTTTTCTATTGGACTCTTTGCCCTTGAAAGAAACTTGCAGAGCAAAACTACCAGAACAACGCTGTGTAGTTTGACTTGTTTGTACTGAAAAGC